AATCCCCCCCCCCCCCGCCCCCCTTCGCTCTTATTTTTAGCCCACACTTGAATTACGCACTTTTGACATCAAGTGAAAAGATAAATGAATGAAAAAGAAAAAAATCAGAATTGTTTCCTAAATTCATTAGAAATAAACCCACGTTAACTGGCCAGAATTGTTTCCCTAATTTTCCTCCTTGCTTCCAAAACCCTTTCCCCAAATAATTCCCTTCTCACTTTGCCACTTTAGTTTAATTGGCCAAACCTAATTCCAATTTTCTCACCCTCCAAATTTCTTGTGTGTGATATAATACTTTCTCCAGGATTTTGCAAGAAATTTTATTCAACTCGTCAAATTGCCACGATTGGCTGCAATCGATTTTGCAAGAGGGAATTATTCAGCCACAATTGGTTGTGATATAATTCTTTCACCAGGACATAATATTCATCTTGGGTCAAAAAAATTTCGACTGAATCGACTACACATTTTGAGCTCTTCAAGTTGTCTTCAAGGTATGCCAATCAATCCTACTGTTAATTTGTAAATTGTGTAGAAAATATAAGTACATAATCTTGAATTTTGAGATTATGTTTTCAATTTCTCGCTATGGAAAAGCAAATAAATATGGAGGCTGTTCTTCTGTATGAATTTTTAGATTACATTTTGAGATTTGGCATATTTAAAGTTTTGAAGTTGTCCTTTTTGGTTGGTTGTTGCGGTGAGATAGAGTGGGATTTTATCCCCAATTTTAGGGAGACGACGGGACCAGGAAATAAAGGGGAAGTGGCTGGAAGAGGGGTAATGGAATCTGCCGAACACAAGCTTTCCCATTGGTTCAATCAAAGACTAAGCACTTCTAATGGATTTCATTATACACGTGATTATTTTAATCAAAGGACGTCGGAATCTGCCGTAGATTGAGGAGTAATGGAATTTTTTTCAAGGCATGGAGATAACACAACATGGGAATATATGATTTTTCTTTGGTGGAGTGCAGTGAAATTTGCTTGCTTTGTGACTTTTGACATTATTTTTGAGATTTTAATTTATTTTTTCGATTTTTCGAAGAAGATGGTTTTTCTGAATTAGAGTGTGTATCATATAATCAAGAATTTAGTACATTTGGCACTTTGGCAATGGATTCCAATTCATCAATTTCTTTTGTATATGTTATTTCTATGGTTGGAAAAGCATTGTGCTTTAATATTGCAATGAGAATGATGATACTCTGATTGCAAATAATATATTCATGTAAAGAACAAGTGTTAGACTTATAATATATCATCATTAGAGCTAAATAATAGCTTATCTAACTTTATTTGGTTTGGAATTATTCTCTTCATTGGAGCATTGGATGATTTTGCAGAACTAGGAAGTCAGCTTTAGCTTCTTTGAAATGTGGAAACAAAAGTGCAGCCCTGAGATGTGCAAAAGAACTAAAGCTGACATCTCAGAGTCAAGATAAATGCGTAAACCTTTTGGACCAAGTTGAAGAAGTTCTCAGAGTTATCTTTGACGCAAAGTCCTGTAATAAGGTTGTTAATAATCCAATATTTCTTAGTTGCACTACTTTATTTATGAAAATTGCAATAGTTGGGAACTATTTGCGTCAGTGCTTGATGTAGGCTATAGTTGAGAAAGTTCTTTTAACCTTCCAGATGGATGATCGGAGTTTTTGACAGTTGGTCACTTCAAGGACATTCTTGAAACTGATAATTGTTTCTGTTTTCACTCACCTTATTACCTCCGATGTAGGTTTTTGAGGCTATCCAAATAAGTACACATGCATTGAAGGATAATCAGACAACTGTTGAAGAAGTTAGTCTGTGTCTTTAGCATCTTGATGAGAGCATTGATTCTGTGAAGCAAGTGGACAAAGTTTTAGGTAATTTCTGCTATCCTAATTTGAATTGTAGATTTCAAAGTTGGGGACATAAATTATTTGCATTAACGTTGATAACTAACCAAAATGATAAAGATGGGTAACAGGAATTACTTCATGCAACTTTACTATAATGGTTGGCTTTGTTACTGAATGAGATGATTGAGGAACCAGTAAATGTGAAATGTTCTGGTTCTTCATTTAACATAGGATCCATTATTTGTTTTTTAGTATGTTTGGCTAAGCCTAATATAATGTTAACATACTTGAAAGTAACATTCCATCTTCACCAAATACATATGTAAGCTTAAAGGTTGTAACATGTTCTTTTTCACATGTTTGGACTTTTAAAAAGTCTTGTACTTTTCAAAAAGTACTTGGTACTTTTTTATGATTAGCCAAACATGCTCTATGTGGGAATGTATAGCACAATTGTGAGTAGCATCTAATCTCTGTTGGACTGAGAATTGACAACAATGGATGAATTCAAGGCTCCAAAAGGTGCTTTAAACTTGCCAAATGAGGAGTGACTATTTTAGCCCTTTACAATGTTCCCGGATACTATCCTTTGTAGTAATCTAGTTTGATAAATGTTGTTCTATCTAACACGTGTTTCCCAAAGTCGACACATTTGAGTTCGCTTATGCGGGAAAGAACAAGTGTGGACTTATTATGTAGCTAAAGCTCAACATGAAAGAAAGACTCAGAATTATAACTTTGTTTTCTTTATCGTGTTTTATACCAAGTTAGACACAAAAGAATATATTGCAAAGTTAGATCAATAGAGGCTAGAAAAATTAACATTATGTTAAGTAGTATGACAATTTTTGTATGATTTTGTTGTGGTTTTTTTGGAAGTGGACACTGGCATGGTCAAAATGTTTTAGAGAATCGATTATATCTCGTGCACAGTTATGTTATATCTCTTGCAAAATTTCATTTTATGACTTACTTTATATATCTTGTGAATTGTGTTTGTAGGATGAGATGCTTGTAAAAGAGTATGAATATCTTGTACAGAAGGCAAAGGAACACAAACTTCTCGAAGATATCCCTTTGGAGGAGATATCAGTAGATGATCCTGATGCTAGAATTCATATCATAATATTTGTTCTAGGTACGAAGTCTGGACGTCAAATTCATGGGTTGGGAGATGGTCACCTTAGAGACATTCGCACATCTTTTAATGTACATAATTTGGAGAAAGAGTTAGAAATAGAACGCGCTGTTTGAAAGGCAGCTAATGCAACTCTAGTGAAGATTGAGCAAAGGATGCAAAATAAGATGAAGGTTGTTCAGAAACAATTCAATTCTACATTGCAATTTTGGCATCATTCTATGCACTAGATAAGTGGTAAAGTTCCTGGCTTTGTTGTGCCCCAATTTACGCCATTATCAATAGAAAATAATGCTGATGAGGAAGATGATACTATTGAGGATGAAGAGAATAAATTTGGTGATGATAAATCGCATATCTAATTCATGAGGATGAAGAGTTATTTTGTTAGGTGCATA